TAAGATGAGGGGTAAGCCACTGGACGTGGCCTACGCTGTCGTATACCTGGCCTCAAAAGAAGCTCAGTTTGTTAGCGGAGCTAATCTTGTGGTCGACGGAGGACTTGTCTATAACGCCGGAGGAATCATATAAATGTTCATTTTAATTGGTTACCTAGTTCACTTTACTATTATGGTTTTATTAACTGTAGTATACATTTATACTACATTTGTACTGACACTAACTACATATCGACATACTTATTTAATCTGTTATATGACATTTGATTACTCCCATTGAAAATTTTAAAATCTCAAAATAAACTTCTCAAGCAATAATAATAAATTTTTAATAATTTGTTTTGGTTTAATAATAATTTAATAATTATAGTTTAAATCATATTTAAATAGCTCTCTCACTTTGATAGGGCATATGGAGAATATAATGGTAAATTACTAAAGTGAGAGAACTATTTAAATATGATTTAAACTATAATTATTTAATTATTATGAATTTAAACGATAGTTTATCATAGTGTCTTTATAAAAAATTAATAAAAAATTAATATTTTATAATAATTTTATGTGCCAAAAAGTCAGTCCCATTGTTGTTTATGAAATTAAACATATTAAATATTTTGACAGGCTCATAATAAGACAAGTTCGCTTATACTATAAAATATGAATGAGTGATATTGGACACTTTTTACAATATACAGTAAAATAAAATTTTTACAATATTTATCAATATATTGTATTTCATAATACATAACAGTTGTACTCCCTTTGCACTAAAGTGTGGACTTTGAAAGCCTTCAACTGGTAAAGTAGTACTGGTCACCGGATCCAGTTCCGGCATTGGGAAGGGTATCGTTAAACTGTTCTCAGTATTGGGCGCCGAAGTTGTGGTCACCGGTAGGAAAGAGGGTCAAGTGAAACGTGTGGCACAAGAAGTCCAAGAATTATCGCCTAAAAAATTAAAGGTTTGTTTAGAAATAATTTTAAATTTTATATAAAATTGATTTTATTTATAGCCGTTGGCTGTTGTGGCGGATGTGACCAAAAATGATGACTTAAATAGACTAATGAATGAAACCATTAAAACATTTGGCAAATTAGATGTACTTGTTAATAACGCGGGAATGGGTATGTTTGTTAGCGTCAAGGATAAGAATTTAATGAAAGTCTTTGATAACGTACTCCGGATTAATCTGAGGGCTTACGTCA